ATTTCTGGGGGCCGAATACCAGCCGTATGAGTCCTATTGTTTATCAGGCTGTGCGGGGAATTCCGAGGTTTCGACCTCGTTTGAGTGCGAGAAGCTCCCGGAGGGAATTCCATTCTTTCCATCGCGCCATTCCCGATCTCCCCGGAAGCATGAAGCGGCAGAGGGAGTCTCTTCCGTTTTTTCAGCATCGGGACGGAGATATTCCCCAGACAGTCAGGCTCGTAGGGGCGACGGACATACTCCGAGCTCGAATCTTGCACAGCTTCCTACCAGCGTCGGGAAAGGGAACAGTCGGCAGTGTGGTAGCGGGCCATGAGACGGAAGAATATCGAGAAGAACCCTCAGAGAGAAAGGACGACGTTCCCCTCGCCGAGATCCCTTTCCGTCCAGCTCCTCAACATCCTCCGCAACGTGCGTCGAACGGAACCGGATAGAGATCCTCTGGATCTCCTGATCTAGGCGGGATGGAGTTCCCCAACGATGAACTCCTTTAGCTGACACTTGCTCAGTTGGTGTCTATCACAGAAGCATATTCATCGATTTTTCACTAAATTATTCCATCCGTTACTTCAGTGTCGAAATCAGCGGGCAACATCGTCGGGTTCCCGTCGTCGTCATCACATCTGCATCCACATTGACATTCAGCATAATCAGTCATCCAATTTCCTGGACCTTCACACCAGCGGGGAAATACCCTGCCTCGCTCTCCTCTGAAATTCTCACCCGACGAGAGCCAAAACTCCTTGTCGAATCTGGGGGACACTTGAGGAGATTCGGCTTTATTGATTGGCTCTTTATTCTTGTGTTGTGGTCAGTTCTACCAAATTCGGACTTTTTTCGCGACGCGAGTTGTTCAACGATACCTCAGTGCAAGGCAGAGAGAAAAGTTCAGTGAGCAAGTGAATATCAAGAAGCAAACAATGTTCGGCTCCAAGAAAAAGGGTGAGTTTCTGCTCTCTTCCAGGTTGTCCCCACCTTCCTTGATAGACGAGCACTCGATGTCTAAAATTGGGATTCACGGGTCTAGTCATCTCGTAGAAGGAGTCTAGTCATCTCGATATGGGTATACTTGTATCCTCCGCAATCATCCCGGCATTCAGTTCGGAATGTCTTCTCCATCGCGGTTTTCCGCGAGCGACACCAAGACGGAGAACGCAGCATCTTTCCCTCGAATCGAGAATTCGACCTCACTCCGATCATCCGGAGTTGACTTCAGTGTGGTTCCGGGCTGGCCTTAGTCGGAGGCCAACTCATGGATCTAGGCTCTCGAAGCTCAGCACTGTTAATTCCGAAGGAGCAGAGCTACGATTGATTTCAATACTTGACGGAACGAGTGAAAACGACGCCATCGCATCGGATGACTCCGCATTCATTACTATCTGCGCTCATTCGAGAAAAGAGGGAAACATTATTCTGGGGAACTCACGTCGGTCTATTCAATCCCTCGTCGTTTCATCGCTCGACGATGTCAGTTCCTTGATCGGGCTTTCCGCGCACGGCACGACTGCCGCCGCGTCACTGATTTCTCTACCCTCAGAGACTGAGTTCTCGCCGCTGACTTCACCTGCAACTCGCACAGGTGGCTGCAGAGCAGTTTCTCTGCCGCTGTCGTACCGTCTCGTCAAAGAGATTTGACCCTCTTTGACGCTGCATCTTTCATATCACCGGTACGAGGGGTAACAGCAACTCATCAAGCGCGGCACCGTAATTTTGTTCCAGAGGATTTCGAAGGAATCTCGAGGCAGGATCCGATCTCCCGGGAGAGCAGTTTCCTGAATCATCATTTCATATGTAGGCTGAGGGATTCATGCACGTTATCATGCATGATATCGTTCTCTAGAGAAGATTGTTCCGAGCAATCTGTTTCGACCGCATCCGAAAATTCCAGAGCAGTCCCACACGTGCCGAGTGCAACCAGCTCTGACGCCCCTCAGAATGACCACAGAATGGCAGCGTACTTTCACTCAGAATGCCTCCCGGAACGGATTTGAAAAATGTCACGCTATGCGGAGCTCGAGTCTGAAAGACTCGCTCCACGTCCATGGGCTTTCCGCGAATTCCCCGCATGCCACAGATTGCGACATAGGCAGACTTTCGGCCAGACGGGAAGAGGTCGCTCCATGGTTACAAGCAACGAGCACGGCTTAATTCGTGGACAGATTAAGTCTGCGGGCGACGTAACGAAACGAATTAACGAGCCAGTCGATCCGGGAGCTTCATGCAAACATGAACGTGGAAATTCATCCGGTAACTCCCCAGGAAGCCCATGACGGCTGCGCTGCTCCACCCACTGAGCCATTTTCACTCGATCGTCCGGACAGTCGTCGGACCGGAGCGACACTTATGAAAGCCGACTCTAATCGTCGCATTGTAATTTGCGAGCCCGCAAGGAGGGTTCACGTTATTTCTATACGTAACAGCGACTGCCGGCTCGCGCTGAGCCTATAACATCAGCGGTCGTCTCATGAAAGCCCGTCCGGTAGATGTTACGGACGGCTGACGGCGACGTAGGAGTAGGAGGAGCGTATAACAATCTACCCAGCGTAGCGAGCCATCCTTCGGGCGGGGAGCACGTGTCTTCCAGCGCGGAATATAATTTGCAAGCGACCGCTCGAAAACAAAACGGGGATAACCGCTCTCATTCGCCAACACTCAATGCGCTTTGAGCCGAGTGAGGGTCTTTGATGTCCTGCGCGATCCCCCAGCGATTGCGCAAGCCTCTTCCTCTGGATCTCGTCTTTTTGCGAATACATATCCCGAAGCCATGAGTGGCATCTCGGCGCGGCAATTCGCGACCAACAGACATCCCGAGCTTCGGCATCGAAAGCGCTCGCATGGAGAATTCATGCGCAGCATGAACACAGGCCGGTCGTAGACGGGCGAGGAGGCCTTCGTCGGCGGCCCCTCTCCGTCAACTAAATGTTCTGCGATTCTCCCGCGTACATACTGCCGGCAATACGATCGCGCGTGCCCGGGTCGACGACAGAATCGTTATCATGATGACGAAAGATTCTTCGACATGGGGGTCACGGTGGTGCCAGGTCCGGCCCAGTGTACCGGTAGCTGGTGAGCCCCACGTTTGTCCGTTTCGATCGTCCTTCTTCAGCGTACGTGAAGTCGAACAACAGGTGAGCGTGACTGCACGTAGGGATTATGACCGAGAGCAAGCGAAAGTGCTCGCCGACCCAGAAACCCCTCGTAAACCCCGCGACAGAATGTTCGTAGGCGAGTGCAACATCGGCTGAAATGAGCGCACAGGTCCGACGATTCAAGCTCGGTTTAACTTGATTCGGATCCGTCGACCGTGAAGCCGTCGATGGTTCCGAGAAGAGTAGTGCACGCTTTTCGGGTGTCCAGTTCTCCCTCCTGGAACTCAAAAGTTCACGCCGGTTCAGAGTGTTAGTGATCCGAGCAGGAGGAAGTAGCTACAGAGAGTGGCAAGGAAATTAAACGACGAGACGAGATAAAGAATTACCTCGAATATCCGTGGCACGACGTCAAAACAATCGTAAACACTACTTCTGTCGCAAGTGCGCCGTTGCTGCTTCCGCTGACGGTACTCACCCGGAGTCCTAAAGCAGCAGCGTGTCTTCCGCTGAGTTCCCCGGAGCGAAATTCTCCTGCGAAGACGAAAACCGAGCGGTTGTCCTATCTGGTCGTGGACAGAATCGGATGACCAAAATCTGATTCGCTCCTCCTCACCGCTGCAGGACATCCATCGAGCGCAACGACAAGTGCCCGCATCGCTCTCGGCCGCGGGCGGCACGGATAAATCGGCTTTCCCTTATTAGCGAGATCCAATACGTAAAGGAGAATCAAGCGATCTTCCGGAATCGGGTGTCACATTCGCGACTTATCTTGCCTATCTGCAAGAAGAACGTCCTCCACGGTCGGGTCTCTTCGTCTGCAAGGGTCGAGCTACAGGGTCCACGCTGCCCACCAACTTCATATCCCTCATTGAGCTGCGACTGTATGTGCAGAATACGCTGAACCACATCCCGCAAGCCTAGCCAGTCCCCATGGGGATGCAACATGTCTAGGAAAGTGTGACATCAACAGCAGGAATGCGGCAACACGGGCGGGCTCAGGTAGCTCGCAAGGAAGCTGACACGGGAAACAGCGGACGACCTCAAGCAACTGGAGGAGCAGCGAGCCCGGAGGCAGGCAGGGTGGCTGGCTCCTATGCAATTCTGATTTATGTCGACACTCCCTGCAGTCACCGTAGTATGAGCTAATTATTTTAGCCCCTGACCTATTTTCTGAGCTGGCCGTGGAGTTCTCCGATTGGGCGCAAACTCTTCGCCCACAGTGTGAGTCCCCGGTCCTCAACTCTTGAGTCGATGACAGAGAGCACAAACCCAGTCGTAAAAGATTCCGAACAGGTCTCTACCTACGATATCTCTCCATTATCCGTATCGCTTTCCCCTATCCACCTCCTCCTTCCGTCCGCTTTCCGTTCCCATTCGTCTCTGTCTGTTCTCTCGACTTTCTACCTCGACCCGAACTAGCTCTTTATCTCTTCTGATTCCTTGTGAAGCTCTATGCCTCTCCATCCTCCTCCTCTCGATAACTCTATATCCGTGTCTCCACCATTTTCCACCTTGCCTTCCCCGTATCATCTATGATTAGGAGATATAATATTGAAGAAAGAAGAGAAAAAAGGAACACAGTATTCATTCGTCCTGCACTCTTGAGGACGCTCCGTTCGAGGACCGGATCTTCAGCACAGAACCTTTAAGGAAGAGAACATTCCGCGGTGGCTGTTGGTGATGCTTCAGGGACATTCATTTATGAAACCGGACGACGCTCTGTAATCCTTCACATTTCCGAACCCATAATCGGGTACGGCGACCGTCTCTGGGTATTCCCTCGGCGCCCACTCGTACAAAACACACTGATTATAGGCGGCAGCTTCCTGAGAAAAGAGAGGAAACTCCACGCGGGAGACGGTCGTTCTCGACTCTCGGGGATCATCACGTGTGAGCGACCACGCAGTCATCATGGCTCTCGCTTCGATATACATGGGATTCTCCGGACTTTTCAAAGGAGTGAAACCCACCGTACTCCTACGAGGAGGAAGATCACGTAAGTTGAACTCAGTCGTTACGTAGTCGTCTTTCCACTGCAGAGAGCCTCGAGTCCAATAATTGTATTGGAAGCGAGGCGACGCATCGAATCATCATGCACAGACCGCATGACTCGACTGACACTGATTCCTCGTTCGTGCGGCGCATCTCGATCGCGAAATTCATTCTCAACGTCTAATTTCGATTTCGAAGCGTCGCTTTGTCGCTTGCGACGCTCGGATGATTCGATGTCGATGGGTACTAACTCGGTGATTTGAGAGAGATTCCGAGCTTGTCATCGAACTGCCGAGACAGCCGATGAGTTGACCCCTCCCGACTCATCTCATGCTCGCAAGAGGAAGTGTCATCTCGAAGCGTTGAGTCGCAGACGCCATCCAACTAGGGGGAAGGTGAGAGTTGTGTGGAAGCAGGCGCTCGGTCAGCCGTCCATGACAGGCCTGTTGCACGGACGGAAAATATTCAGGAAGAGCGAGTTGTTTAAAAGTAGATACTCGCAGAGGTGATGCTGATGATGGCGGCTGCGGCGGTTTTGGCTGTGCCAGGGTGGAAGGCAGAATGGTCCGCCCCTCGCGGAACGTTTGCAACGGAAGCGCGAGTCGTCTCGGGCCGGAAGGGTCTTCTGATGAGCCGGATCTGGCTGCAAGCCCGGCATGACCACCATCATTATATTCATCATACATTTCTTGACGTGGGATGCCAGAGACAGCTGTCAGCGCTGGAAAATAATTTACGATTCGAGAAAATAAACAACACGTGGCATCTAAGAAAGTAGTCGGATCTCGGATCGGCAGAGCTGCGGCGGAATTCCTGTCGTCGTGAATGTTTCAGCCGAGAGTGGATCCAGGCTGTCACGGGGAATAAATATTATTTATATGTACCCTGTCGAGACTCGATCGAGGAGCGAGGTCTGTTCTGGAATTCTTCGCCGGTACTCCGGGGTTGCTATTCTCAGTTCTCGCTCCTCCGTCGAGAAGACGGACGCAGAGGAGCTGGAAATAGCGGAGCCTTGGGAAAAACCGAATTTTTAACGTCAGTATTGGAATCTCGATCCAGTGGACGACTCTGGCGAAGGTTGCTCCCGCGTCGAGGCACTTGACAATCATGTCAACTATAAAGACTCTCAGAACGCTAAGGGGGAACGCACCCACTCAAATTATTGAAGTCCGTCCAGCCGAATGTTCCCGCGGATCGGGGTCTCACAGGTGGAAAACGACACTGCCCGTATCGCTGGAAGCCGCGGGGGAGTCGGGGAGTCGTCGGGGAAGATTCGGGAATCCGCTTCTCGGGAGACGCACCGCACCGTCGATCCAATCATCGGATCTGCTTCATTGTTTAACGATTCATCATCCGAGGGTGCCTCGCCGGAGCTCCGCGTCAAGTCCAGAAAGTACAACATAGCTGTACTTTGACGCCCTTGGCAACGAAACACAGTCTTTTCTGAGGTCTCTCCGAGGAATCAAGTTTCGCAATCGTGCCGGTGTCCTCGGATCTGCCCGAGCCGAGCAGCAGGAATCGAAGCGAAAAGCAGAAACACAGACTCGGCGGTCGGTTGTAATTTCGAAGCGAAGATGTTCCGACGGCGCGCGTAGATAATCTTCTCCATCTAGGGCTGGAAACATTATGGCGGCGGGCAGCACCGCATTTGCCTACGGCGCTTTTCGCATTGTGTGCCGACAGAGAGGGGAGCGGGGACAGTTCACTGCTTTTGCCATGCTCTGGTCGCCCTATATTTTCTTATAATGTACCTCCCAGCGAGGCTTCTTTTCTCGCGCCGACAGCTAATCGAAGATCTAAGCCGGAATGGAGAGGAGGAAACTTCCGAGGGAGCGGAAGCGCAGAGTTCGAGATATTTTTCAAAATCTTCGAACGCCGGCTCGGCTCTCGGGAAGATAGCGAGGAATAGAACATGTCTCATTCCGAAGTTCTGCACCGACACAAATGAGGGCATGATCCGTCCGCCCCTCCCGCGTATTCCTCGTTCAGCCTCCTTGGGGAGAGTCTCGGCTCCTATCGATGTCGCGGCATTCCGCGAAGGCAATGTGATATGTTGACTGAATCGGATAGCTCGAAGGACGAGGAGCGATCGTTCCCATCAGCGGGGCCGAGTCGCTCTGGGACATTCGGAGCGGCGGGAAAGGCGTTTTGAGTCTTCCTAGGGCCTGGAGTCCGATGTTGTTTTCCGCATAAGGCTTCGAGGAGAGCCATTCAGTGAGCAGGTTCGGGTCATTCAAGAGGCGAATATCCCGGAATCCCGTCCGTCCTGACGCGGTTTTCCCTCATCCAGTGAATTCCTACACAATATCCGCATCGACGGGATTCCCTCTAGGAGAATCACAATCCATGAAGAATATGCCATGGGGAACGGTATCGATGGAACAAGTGTTCGCTTACAATCGTCTCATGCCTGGCCTGGCTTTCTGTGATGAGAGTGCATCCAATGCAGAAGGTAGCGAAAGCTTCACGAGCCGAGCTCAATACAATTTCCATAGGGAGGGCGCTCTGCCGTTACTTCGCTGACTGCTCGTATGGTTAGCTGGTGGTCTCAAACGAGTGTTAGGCCCATTTATTGATGCATGGCATACTAACTCTGCTGCTACGTGTACGCAACATATGGGCTCGCGTACGTTCAGCTCTTCTGGGCAGAAACTTGCTCCCCTCATAAAGCGAATAGTGAGCGCGGTCGCTAAAACGTTTATCTCGATTCAATCTGTAGTCTGATCGCCTGCATTGACCCCAAATCTGATCGTTATTCGGTCGGAATGACGGCGTGCAGGATCAACGAATCGTTCCGTCTCCCCCGAGTTCGGAGTTCTCCCAAATGAATTTCGTATCGGTTCCCACCTGTGACCCGACCGGCTCGTAGCTCCTCGATTGTCTGATTTCATGCTGACTCGAATCCTTGGACTTGTCATTCAACGCTGCGGCCCGCGCAGTATTCAGAGGTGTTGGAGAACAGGAGGAATCGAGAATATTCGGACTCTTCCAAGGTCTCGGTTTCATTCTTCTCACGCATGAATGGGTGGATCGCCAGGTGGGACGGGGCGCGAGGAAGCGGGCTTGAACTTTCGAGTGCGTGAGAAATTGTCTGTCGACTATCCGGAACTCCTCGCCTCGTTTCTCTTGGTGGGAGCGACAGTATTGTCGCTCGAATCTCTCTCCGACCAATCGTCCCATCTTTATGTTCGTCCGGCGGCGGCTCGTCTCGCAGTGCGTATGTCCGCCCGAGTCCCGTTGGTCTTACCCTGTCTAACGGCCCGTGAGGATGTCGGATCTGCAACAGTTGTTCTCTCAGAACATCACGGGTGTTCAACGATGGAGGAACGAGCGGAAACTAAGTGAGTGAGGGTAGCAAGAGCAAGTGCTTTTCTCGCTGCCTTCTGTCCGTCTTCTTCGTCGTCGTCGTCGAGTTCTCCGTCTTCCTCTCCTGCTGATGATTCTCTGATGATGGTGATGAAAAGCCAAATGGTTCTGACCTGAGGCTCCGGCTTCTCATTTCCCATGTTCGCTTTTTACTCGTTCGTTTCATCTTCTCCCGCGTCCTACGATCTCCTCACTTGCTCGCCCCATCCGCCGAGCTGCCTGGAAATCGTCTCCATGGTGGCGCCGATGGTCTCCCCTCCCACCAGCCAGCCCGTCCGCCCGCGCCCGCCAACCTACCTCATAGATGTATCCCGAAATCTCCCCTCCTCCCATTATCTCGAAGCGAGAAGATAGAACATGTCGCAACGGACTCCCAATCGGTCGGTCAGAAGCTCGGAACCTGTAGCTGGTTAGGCCGACCGACGGCGCCGCATCAGACGGATGCGTTCAGAGGTCATCATCACCATTTCCGTTGAACATTTGTTCGCGTTCCGTCGGGCCATGGATTCCTCTGCATTCATCAATCTTCGAGCCGCCGCCGTACAGGATGCGGCTTCCATGGAGACGAGTCTGCTGCTCCATGGATGGAATCGAGAACTTTTGGTGGGAGAGTCACTCGGGGAACCGCCGAAAAATTCCAGTTCGTTACACTGATGTAACGCGAGACCGAAATTTCGGCGGAAACGAGCCGAGAACGGAGGAGTCCCTTACAGTGGTGAACGACTTGTCTGCCGAAGTGATCCCAGTCGAAGTGACCCACGATTGGACGAGCAAGAATGCTTCTGCTTCACTTACGTGCTTTCCCATCCATCTATCGGTCGGTCCCTGCGTTCAGCCATCGTGTGAGCTGCAGTCTGCGTGTGCACATCAGGAGCTCTGCGGTCAGGAGAAAGCCGCCAAACGAATCCAGCGGGGGGAACAGCGGTATTGGAGCTGGCAGTCGCTACATCGGGAGATAACAGCGGCACAATGAGCAAGCTCAAAGGAAGTGAGGCGTCGTCCTCGGACATGGTCGGAGAGAATTGGAATGAAGGAGAAAGAAATGGCAGGCAACGATAGCCAATCGCTCAAGACCGGAGAAAATACACATCGATTGCTCCCGACCAGACGTGGACTTCCATCTGGAAGCTGAAGTCCTGGTGGGCTCCTTCTACCGACGACTGTGGCTCCGAGCAGAACCACCCGATGGGTTTCCCCAGCTTCCCTTGTGGGGGCGTGTTCCGTTCGGAGCCCGTGAACAGCGCCAGGAGGGACGAGTACTCAGAGCTCACGCTTGAGGGCCGACTAGTTGAGCGGAATAGATAAGGCAACATATAAACAGAGTAGCGCTGGCTGATGGGGAATAAGCTCCCGAGGTCCGGTTGTGAGCTTTTCAATTTCATTTCCCTCCGGTCTATCGTTGTGCCGTCTCGCTCATTCGTTCACGTGGCATTTACGTGGCATGAGGATCCTCTGCGGGAGCACCTTCGCGTTGGAATGCCGCGGACCGTCGACGACAGGCAGCCGAAGAGCTTGAAGGTTCCGGGGTGAAATCCTGCCCATATGAGCGGCAGACGACTGTCAATGCAGCTTGGGAGTGGCTCTGAGAACGTGGAGCGGCCAACGACCCTGGTCGTCGGAGCAAGACTTCGGAAGAGA